ATTGTTTAGTGTTGATGATCGTGAATTAGTTGTTAAATATGCAATTGTACGATATTTTTTTGGTAAATAATGATGAAATATATGTTCTTGAGCGAAATATAATGATTCATCAGCTGTTGCACCAATTAATATATCAACATTAACAAGTGGTCCAGTACGAATCAATTGTTCAATATTATCGGTTAATATATTATTATCAATCACTGGAAATCTAATTTTAGTATATGAAAAAAAAAAAAGAAACAACAACTATTATTAAAAAACTATCAATTCTAATAAATATATATCTCGTACGGATAATTTGGTGATATTTCTAAACCTGAATGATACATATAACGAAATTCTTTGGCTGATAATTTTTTAAATTGTTCAATATTGGATTGAATAAATTTTTTCTTTGTTTTCATACCATTTCGGTTAACAACATTATCATATCGAACTTTTGGATGTTGATCGGTTGCCCTATATAAAAATTGATCAAAAAAAAGAAACCATTATAAAAACAAACCAAAGTTAACATAATTTACCATTGATTTAATGGACTACCGCTTTGAGCAATAACTCGAGCTATTAAACCTTTCGATCGTTTTGACATTGCAAGTAGAACAGCATTAGCTGCACCAGCTGAATGTCCAACATAAGTTATACGTTTTGAATCACCATTAAAATTTTTAGCATTAATTGATATCCATTTTAATGCTAATAATTGATCATGTAAACCATAATTTCCAGACATTATATTTGTATCTGGTGTTAAAAATCCTAATATATTTAAACGATAATTTATTGTTATCACAATAACATCACCAATTGCAGCTACAGCACTTCCATCAAATAATGAACCTGAACCTACTTGATTCGAACCACCATGACAAAATACCATAATTGCTTTTGGAGTTAAAGATTTTGTTTTTGGAATAAACATATTTAATGTTAAACAATCTTCATCATACATATCAGATAATTCAAATGGACCATATAAAAGACCACCAGGAGCTTGTAGACATGCTGGCGTTCGTTTTATGGCATGTACAATTTTTTTAGCATTATATTTTCGTAAGATAGGCATTTCAAAACGAACTGGCTTTTCACCATATGGAATGCCAAAATATTGTCGAATTGAAACATTATGAATTAGAATTCCTTTACCTTGAAATAAACCTGATGTAGTATTTATAAGTAATTCATTATTCAAACCATTTGAAAAACTTCTTATTTAGAAAAATAAAAATTAAAGAAAAAACAATATTTTATTGAAAATTTATATTACTTTATATTGTTTAATGATTGAACTTTCTCTAAATTGAAGAAAAACAAGAGGATCAACAATACCGAGGTTTGGACCATCGATAAGAGACGACGGTTCGATAACCGTATCGCATTGATCTGAAGAAAATAGAAAAACAACAACCTGCTCAATTGTATGGATGATTTTTGCTCATCTATTATAACTGTCGTTAAGCGTGTTTTTTTTTCATTGACAATAACAAAAACAAAAATACCCCGACTTTCTCATTTCTTATTATGGATATAGAACCTTTATGAACAGGTAAGCTTTTTCCTGTAGAATCATGTCAAAGTACAAGTAAAAACAAGACTAGTTTGATACTCAGTCATATAATAAGAATCGATCTGTGTGTCTGCAATGTCACATTGAGATTTCCTGCCACTGTAACTACTCGAAAATCGAGCGACTGATTTTGTTTCTCGATGTTCTGGTGAAGAGAAGAAAAAAGAAAGAAAAAAAGAACAAAAAAGAAAAAGGGAAAAAACATCGTCTCTTTAAAAATCTTGTTGCCGCTGTCATCACATTGACAATAGCATTTATTGGCTTTGTCAGTGATCAAATAATAACAAAATAATATAACAACATATAAGATGTTTTTTCTTCAAATGTAATAATGCTGATTTTGGTTCTAATATTCGTATGATCTCAATTACAATATCTATATTGTTTTGGCTTCTCTTTTTTTTCTCTGTTTTATACTATTAACGTCTTTCTCGATCTCACTTAACATGGTATGCATAGCCTTGAATCGCCCGATGTACACACGAAATTAGTAGCCTCATTTTTTTGTGCTTAATCAAGATCGACAAATAACATGACTGTGTCGTCTTTGATATATATGTTGTTTATATTTATTCTTTGGTTTTTTTCCTCTTCTTTGATGATTTTTTTTCTTTTGCGCAATCATCAGTTAAGTTGGGCGGCACAAAATACGATACCTTCATGCATACATGTACGTACGATAGTGATTAATATGTACACAAGGGAGAAAAAAAACGAGAAAAAGAATAGGAAATTCAGTTGTGATTGTAACCTTTTTTTTTCCATTCAATCAATAACGATCAACAAGATATAACAGAAAAGAAAACTAGGAAAGAAAAACAAATGGATGAAGAAAGAAGAGAAAAAAACTGTAAAAAGTGATTCTCTTTTAAGAGGATTTCAAATAATATGGATGAATCAATTTCATCAATCGCAGCTTTCTGATCATGAGAATTGATAGATGATAGACATGAAGAAAAAGATCTTTATAGTCTATTTTTTCCAAGTCAAAGTACCATAGTTGGTTTTTATAGGTTCATACAAATGAAAGTCAAACTCGGAATAAAATGTTTTGAAAACGTACGTACAAGATAAAAAGAATTTTACTTGTTTATTGTAGTTTTCTAAATCAATTCAATGATATCGAATTATTCATTTAGATTTAAACGGATACAATCGACATGAAATGAATTATTAAGCTTAAGAATTTTTTTTTGTATAATTAGTATCATAATGATAAATTGCATTCTTGTGTAACACTTGAGGTTTTGTGAAAGTATTAGAATATTCATGTAAACTTAGAGCAATAATAGTTTATTGATTTGAAAATCTAGTCTTTTGATTATTTTAAAATATCAAATTTATAAATGAACATTAACATATTCAATAATACAAGAATATATCATATTAAAAAAACGTATTAATGAAATCGAGAATTTTGAATACAAACGACAATTATTAATTTTTAAGGTTTGATTGCATGTTACATAGAAACCGAAAGAAAAATCAAATGACACCTTAAAAATTTCATATGCATATAAGATGAATTCATAGTAGAGAATAATGTAAAAAGTTATTAAGTACATTGAAAACTTTTATTTTAAATCTGACATTTTAATTAATACAAATTATAGATTATCGTTATGTTTTACAGTTTGAAAGATTCTGTTCAGCGACTGATTAGTATTACTAAGATTAATACCATATGTTACGTCGCTTGACATTGACTGACTTTAAAGGTTGTTTTATCTGATCAATGGAAATTATTTCAGACAAAAAAAAAACATTTTTTATCAGTAAAAATGCTTTTGATTGAATTCATTATAGAATTTTACTTTTTATGACCTTACAAATTGTTATTTTCTTTTCTCTCTTTTTTAACCATTATACATAAACATTCACAGTGCCCTTATTGTTATTGTTCTCTTTTTCATGTTACTGTGTATGTTAGTAATGGCAAATATATATATATATATATAACACAACATATATAAATAAAAGCAATCTGGACAAGGATTACTGATTAGACAACATCCTTCGTATGAAATAGATTGATGACGTGATCAGATTAATGGATAAGCGTTTGTACTAGAAAAAAAAAAGGATCTTTGACAGAAAATATTGAGAATAAAGTCATAAATATAAAAAAGACTCCAAATCTATTAGTGACATAACCAAGGTTGGACTAGGCTAAGCACCGTCCTATCACTAATCATCTTCGTCCAACCATTAGAAACAAGAAAAGCATAATAATTATCATAATTGATGATATATTTTATGGGTTTTCTCCAATATAATAGGATACTATCCACCATTTCCTAATTATGACACTACCATTTATCAGATTTTTCAACGGACATTATTCAATTGAGACAATAGAAACTATGACAGTTAAACTATAATATATCAAATGAAAGTATAGAATAATTTATCTTATTATGTACCATCTTGTTTTTCTCAATTGTTTGATGTTGTGCACAAACGGTAACTCGATTAACACTTTTGAGAAATATAAATGAATAGAATTCTCTCAAATATTCTTCTCCACTAAGAATCTATTTTGATAATCAAGACAACATATCAGAGTTTAATGTCAGCGCTAGAATTAGAAAAAAAAGATGAGCATAAACTCAATAACTCAACAATGATAGCAATTAGCGACCTACAGTTTTTATAAAATCAAAGGGGAAATTCTAGACGTCTTTTTGTTTGATACTATAGAAGATAAAATTATATCAAAATCTATCATCTTTGCAAAATATGCATGAAAACAGTGTTTAGTTTCAAGGAAAATTTGATACAAATCAACAGACTTCCATATAATTTGATTGAATAGATACGCGATTTTATTTGTTCAACATTGACATACGAGAAACTAATTATCTGAATCATGCCTTGCATGCACTATAGATCTGGAACACATATCATAATCAAAATTACATCGAAACCGAACATTATTTTCACGCATTTTTTTTTTGAATATTTTCCAAAAATGATGTGTTTTAAAATGATCTTATATAGTTTCAGATAAAACGATGTTCAGGGTTCTCCTATGTCGGTTGCTAAAAACTACAGGTTGCCAGCTGTTACCATTGTCGAGTTATTGAAGTGACACCCATTCCTCTTTAATTCTAACGCAGATATTAGTGCATGTTATATTGTAAGAGATGTAACATATTATACAAGTTTCTTTTGTTTTTTTTATTGTATAATTCAACATATTCCAACCTTATGTTTGATTCTTAATGTTGTACTTATCTAATCTGTTCTTGAGAATAAATTATATCTTCTCAAATTGTCGACAAACACATAGTGTTTTTTCATCAAACAATTATCATTGATATCTTAGAACAGATTAGAGAATCAGTTAACAACGAAAAAAAAACAAAACATATTAGTTTGCAAAAAAGTGAATATAATTACAACAATGTTAATTTTAAGATATTTTTGATTATTTTTTATCTCGATAGAAATTATCAATCCATGTATCTAATTCATTCAAGTCATAAGCATATGTTGTTATTCCAGGTTCAGCTTTGAGTATTAATTTTCCATCATTAATTATATAAAAACGAAATGGCCATGAACCATAAGTAATATGAAATGTATTATCCATACTATCAACAAGTATAGGCATTTCAAAGTTGAATTTTTTCTTGAATTCACGTGCATTTTCTAAACGTTCTACTAATGTTTTTGGTTGATCAACACATGATATAGTTTTTCCAGCTGGCCATTGATCACGTGCATGCGCCTCAGCAATATAAATTGTTAAAAGACGCATAGCTGGCGTATGTGAGCGAACTAATTTACTAAATGAATTAAACTTAGTAAGATGAAAATCTATAGAAACGATAAATAATTTACTTTAACCGCTCGACAGACGCCAGAAATGGAGGTCAGGTAGTTGAACCAGCGAAGAGTATTAACGGTTGTTCGGAAGTTATTTGTGAAAAAAGTGTAGTAGATTCTCCATCCAATGTAAAAAGTTTAACATCCAGTGCACATTGTCCTTGATTGACAAGACCTTGAGTAATTTTATTGTGTTTAACTAAAGAAAAATAAAGAAAAAATTAAAATTTACATTTCATTATAATATTTAAATTGTTTTATTTTAATTACTATAAAAAGCTTCTTTAATAATTGAATCATCTGGAAAACGTGATATAGCTGTTCGCAATGCATTTACATGACTATATCCAAAATGTTCAACGACATTTTGTTGAACTAAGTCGAGTACCATTCTACATATTTATTTCAAAAAGAAAAAAATTCGTTTTCTAAATTCAAAATCATTAATAATAATAATAATAATAAATCGACTTACGTTATAGCATTATCATCTTTATGATATAACTCGAAAAGTTGTTGAATAGGATCTGATAAACGTAAAAATGTTTCATATTTAATCATCTTACGAACTATGTCCAATGGTGGTAAATCATCACTCAATATTTGTTGTTTTTCTGATGAACAAGAAAATTTATCATCATAATACAAACTATTGTTAACATCTGGTGGTGTGTCTATTGCATCTGCCATTTACAAAGCAATGTAATATGCAATAAAAGCATATGTAAGGTAAAAAAAAAACTACACAATAATATTACTATTGTGTTGTGCAATATTGTTGCAAACAAAAAAAAATCTCAAGCACACACACATGAATATTAAAGAAAAATAAATTGATGTAACGAGTTGAGTAATCATTATAATTCATAATAATGATGTATTCATATTTCGAGGTTTCTTTGATTATTGTACAATAAACTATATACAAAAGATTCTTACGAAAGAGATTTCCTGAAAATAAAATCACAATTCAAAAGAATATAATATTAAATCAAATTCATTTTAATTTATTTCAAACTTCACTCAAACCTTGCTTTTTTTTGTCAAGGTTATATTCTGTATATTTTTATCAATAATATTTTATACATATATTGAAATTCTACACTTTATTATTAGTACATTGTAATTTAATCCACGTTAAAACTTCTTTTATTAATTTTATTTTTCTTTGATCTAACTCTATAGGATATAATCATATGTTTAAAATTAAATGCGAAATAATGACCTTGTAAAATGTCACGAGGTTTCTTGGATGTCAAAAATCAAGGGCAATCAAGCAGCATGATTTCTCAAATTTATCTATTGAAATGCATGTCTCCGTTTTTTTTTCTTTCTAAATGACAGGAAGCATCTCTACATAGAATTCTTTCGTAGCAAAAAGTAATTAATATAGAAAATACACGAGAGAAAAAAACTATTCCAACATCCTGAACTATTCCGGACCACTTCGACCTCATTATCAAATATTTGTGTCTCTCTTCAGCTATTCTCACGCATTCGGATGCACTTTAGAATTGTAACCGGTAATGACAAATGACCGGTCTCATTCAATAATTGATTTCTTATGAATTGGCCTGGATATTATTGTTTAATGTTTTGCATATTTTTTTTTTCTGTCAAAAAATTGATTTTTAACGTATTGTTCTTTCGCAAAATCATACAGATTTTATGGATTTTGTATCAAATTATTTTATCAAAATAAAATTAAATGAAATTGAATAGTTATTTATGATTGTAATTTATCATGAATTTATTTGCATTTTTTTTTGATTATTTGTAATATATATTTCGAACGGATATAAGAGATAACAAAGCTAATAAAATGTACGAAACAGACAAAAAATACAGTTAATTAACCATGACCATATCTGACAAATATCAAATTTGTATTTCAATGAATTTTTCTGTTCATTGATAGATGTTCAAAGAGAGAAAAAAAAACACTATAGTAATGAAACAATATTCTTACGTGATTACTGTGTAATGATTAGGAAGTAGTTATGACTAATCGAGAAATTGTTATATGATCAAAAAAAATGAAGAATAACTCATGCTGATCTACTGATTCGTTCGATCTATTTTGATTGTTTAGGCACGTACATCCTGAAATTAGACGTACTTCTAAGATTACTACTTTCTTCAATGCAACTGAATTAGATAAGCTTTGAAATAAGCTACTGTATATTTCATAAAGTAGTAGTATCTAATCCTGAGATATAATAAGTGCTTTCAGATTGGACATCGTATCATAGATAATTGTAAACATATCAAGAGTTAATATAAATGAGAAACAGTTCAACCGGAGATTCACGATTATTGAAATCTAATAGTTGAGTTTCAACATTATATGAGTAATTAGTCTTAGATAAAATAAAATTAAGAATATTTTATGTAAGGAGATAATAATTGAGAGAATGAAATTGAAGTTAGACATATTACCGTCTACCAGAAATAAATTATATACGATTCTTTTTGATATCGAAGTTGTACTCATCGCCTAACAAAAAAGAAACACTAATGTAAACAAAAATTAGCTGATATTTAACCATGTCAGATCTTCTCTTGTATTATGAGTGCGATCCAATATATTGACTATAATTTTTATTTAGTAATATATTTATTCGGAAAATTAAAATAGACGATTTCTTACTTTATCAAAATGTTTTTAAATAAGTAGAACTTTCTATCTAAAACTATCAATATATTCCGAATTGGACAGATAAAAACGTGTAATTAAGTACCTTCAGGAATTTTCCATAGTGCTGCTATCATAACAAATTCAAAAAAAAAGAAATACAGCTTATTCTGAAAAAAACAACAACTAGTGACTTCAGAATTATAAAATAATCCTTTTAATGAATATAGATAAAATAACTAATGGTTATTATTCTAATACAAACAATACTTCGGATAAAACAAAATTAGTACGATTTTTTCCTTATTTTAATATAATAAACAAATAACTAAAATCTTTAGTTTCCTTTGTTCACTGTTTGAAAACGTAACATTCTATCGTAGTTTAACTGACTCAATTTTAAATACTAGACAATGTTTACTTTTGAATGCATATCTCTAGCGCATTAATAGCCATTTTTTGCAAAAGATTTTTTTGTTTTAATCAACTACGAAGAATAAATTTTCATTTCGTCAAAATTATGCATTGTTTATGCTCTTCCAGAGGGCGAACATCTATTTTTTGGGAGTACATACAAATAACACGTAGTACAGCTAGCATAAACTGTGAAACGACCAATACGACCTTCGAACCTTACACTGGATGAAACACCACACATATGTGCAGATAAATCATTTAATTAAAATATATTATTTTTTATCAAAAGAAATTTATACGTATCGTAAATACTTTTTTTTCGAATTCCTATATTTAATACTAATGAAAAGGAAGTATTTTAATTTAGTATTATATTCTCAAGACTATTTCATTCCATTCAATATTAAAATTTTTCGTATGTAATTGTTCAACAATAAAGTCACTTTTAAATAAAACGGTGCAATTAATACTCTTGTGCTATGAAAAATATTTTCAATGATTCAACAGGTAATCATTTGTTTAACATTGATAATAAAATATAAAAGCTACTTGAATGAACCAATATATAGTACATAGATGGTCATATTCAGTTAAATTACAGCTCAGTTGCGATATAATACAATGCTCCATCGGTATGTTCGCATAATGCATTACTTCAATGCCGAGAATTTGAAATGAATGTTTCTCAAAAAAAAAATATATATGAAAACATATTTTGTTTTGCTAGTAAATACTTTTTAATTAATAGAAACAGTGCAACTACGAGATGAGAAAGTTCATATATTTGAGTACACTCATTGCCATCATTGGGACATCAAAACAGCTTAAAATATATTAATTTCATCCACACTAATCAATTATGCAATAAAAAGGAATCTATTTTGGTACAGTACTCGCTTTTCTACCCTCATTACTTAATTCACTACATGATTTCATCGTTGGATAATCGAACTTGAAAATATCTTTTCATGATCAATTATGCAAACTAAAGCACTTCGAATAGGTTTAGGTCCACCTTCATACACATCTGTGAAATATATTCATTAATTCAACAACATTTATTAAACGAGCTATCAAAAAAGCTTATTCAAAAAACGACAAACTATATGAAACTAATCTTAAAGATATACTAGCAGAAATATAAAACCTACGACAGAATTAAAAAGAAAATCTGACCACCAAGGCTAACAGAAGAATTACCCAATGTGATACCCGCCATTCGAGCTCATATTCGTTTTACTGAACTTTCAATTCAGCTTTAGGTATTTACCGAAGAATCAAATGACGGAACTTTGATCTGAAATTTTACCCATAAGTAAGTCTAATGACTCTAGAAATATCCTGAAAGTTTCTGCCGAAAAGAATGTTCCTTTGTCGAGATATTGAATATT